CTTGAGGTCCCTTCCAACTCTGATATTCTATGATTCTATGATTCTATGATCTTGTCCAGTCCCCAGCACTGAGGAAGGACTAATTATTATCTAGACATTCCTGACAGGTGTTTGTCTAACCTTAAAAATCTCCAATGACAAAAGAATCCATAACCTCCATAGGTAATTTGTTCCAGTGCTTAACTACCCTGACAGTTAGGAAGTTTTTCCTAATATGTAACCTAAATCTCCCTTGCTGCAATTTAAGCAGCTTTGTCCCAAGCTATTCCCTCTGCAGTCTGACTTGGCTTTCCCCTCTGGGAAGAGAGGTGGAAGGGACTTCCCCTTTCAGGGGGATTCTCTGGTTATTCGGGTGTTGGAACATCTGCTTGGAGGGAGGGGAAAGCACCTCCATGCTACTTTTTGCAAAGGGGCCCTAAAGAGAGATGCTGGCTGCTCCTCCATCCACCTGCAAGGATTATGAGGACTGAATTTTCAGTATTCTCTGACAGCCTAGAGCGCTTTTGGACTGGGTTCTGGAGCTGCGTGTGTATATGCTCCCCATGGAGAGCCCATGGCACTGCACTGGTATGGTCTGGCAGCATCAATAATGATGCTTTATAGAGTGCTGTTTATCCATAGCTCACAAAGGAGGCTAAGACATTACTATCCATAGTTAGGGAATCAGAGCACAGCTGACTTGTTCAAGATTATGCCACACATCCATGGCAGTACTGGGAATAGAACCCCAGTCTCTGGTCTCCTAGTTCAGTGACCTCTCCAGAGGCCCATGCTGCCTCCTGAAGATGGGCTGATTTCATTTCATTCTTCTTTGGCATCACTGATTCCAACTCTGTAGATTCCATTCCAAGTGTCTTGGTTTTGCAGAACAGTGCAATAAAATGTAAATTGATGCATGTGCTCAACTCCAAGTATGTGAGTAGTCCCATTAAAGTCAGTGGGACTGTGCAGTCTTTGTAAGCACAGGGGTTAGTAATTAGTATGCACTGACTTGATTTCATATTTGAATAACGTGGACTCATAAAATTCCCTCTCCCTTTATTGCTTGATAACCCTCGTTTCTGCCCCCGATCCTTGATTCTCTGGAATATTTTTATCATGTTTGTTTCTACCATGTCTGTTTTGTGCCCCTGAGTAATAGAAGAAGATTGATTATATTACAAAACACAACACTAGCTTCTAAGTGATTTTTCCACTCTTGAATAGTAGGCTGTTGGGAGTGCACCGTTCTGTCCTTTCACAGACCTCATGCCTGATATGTTCAATTGATCTTTGTACGGCTGGTTATTTTAATGTTTGACCAGTTCATGGGCTTGTCCCTGAGTTGCTTGATGGCTGAAAATCCTTAGCATGAAATACAAAGTGAAGAATAGCTAAGCATGACAGAAGAATGGCCACAGACCAGTCCTCTCTTGCGGTTCTACGTTGCAATGCTTCTTTACAATACTGTTCATGTATTCTGATCATTATACCATCTCAAAGAGAGAGAGAGAAAAAGAGATGTGAGCAAATGACTGAGGCTTAGGGGTTAAAAATGTGGCTTGTTACGTGTCTTACCTTTGATATAGAGCAGACTCCTGTTAGGATGTTAATTTGCATTAATCATATTTAAGTTTCCATAACTAACTTTTAATTAAAGCATGGTTGATACCAGCTTAATGAATGTACGTATGCTAGGCCATCTGCATGAATAAAAATTGTTTTTAATTCCCTTACTATTCCCTTTATGGCCCCTTAGATGCTTTTTGTGGCCATTTAAACAGCATATGGTAGCAGCTGTTCATCTTTTTAATATAACTTTTTTGCATCTGTGTTCAAGAAACAATAATTATGTAAATAAACAACTATCTCATATCTTTAAAAGTACCTTGGAACATGAAAAGGTGGTAAGGTATGTCTAGGTGCGTGGATGAGAAAATGTTGCCTAATTTAGGACCTGATCCAAAGCCAGCTGAGGTTAATGGAGAGCCTTTTCGTTGACTTCAGTAGACTTTGGATCAGCTGTTGGGCTCCAATTCAGCAAAACATTTATGTGCTTAAGTCTCACTGAAACCATTAAAAAAACTAACGAGGAATTCTAGCCCATGAAAGCTTCTGCCCAAATAAATGTGTTAGTCTCTAAGGTGCCACAAGGACTCCTCGTTGTTTTTGCTGATACAGACTAATATGGCTACCACTCTGAAAACTGAAACCATTGAAACTTAAGCACGTGCTTTAACTGTTTTGCTGAGTAGAGGTGGATTGTTCAGTCTTAATGCACTCTGATCCGAAATCTCCTCTTATTTACAGTAACTTTTCACAAGAATAACTCTAATGACTTCAGCAGACTTAATCCTGATTTACACCTCGGTTAGTGAGAGCAGAATGAAGA